CTACCCGACACTAAACTTCCGCATGTCGCTGAATTTCTACCTGACACCAGAATTTCATCCGTCGCTAGACTTCTATCCATTGTTAGACTTCTACCCGACACCGGACTTTCGCCTGTCTTCGGACTTCTACCCAATGAGAGGCTTCTGCTCGTCGCTAGATTCTTACCCAATGTTAGACTTTTGCATGTCAAATGTCCTTCCGACATCAGTCACCCTGGACTCCATCTCTTGTCGACTATAATCTTTCTTACCTCTGTCGCCAACCGACTACGATCAACTATGGTCCTTTCGACCTCCATCGCCAGATAATGGTCCTTCTGACCTCTATCACCCCGACCTCTGCGCCCACCAACTACGATCCTTCCGACCTCCGTCGCTCTCCGACTACAGTTAGCTACGGTCATTTCGACCTTTATCGCCCACCAACTACAGTCCTTCCAACCTCTGTCGCCAAACAACAGTCTTTCTAACATCTATTACCCATCGACTATGGTCCATCCGACTAAACGAACATGTCAATTGTTATTATTTGTATTCCCACCATATAATGTACTCCATATGATGCATATCAAGCCAAGACCTTCCCCCCAAGGAAGGGCCTAATTTGTATTTGACTACAAATAATAGTGGATTCACTCAAGTTGGATCAGGCCCCGTGATTTTTCCCATATACAGGGTTTTCCATGTAAAAATCTTGGTGTCTCTTATAAATGATGCACCCTTTATTATATATGTATGCGTATTGGATCTTCGTACAAAAGCTAAGACGTTAAACTTTATATTTCTCTACCGTCGCGAATATTCCAGGACAACAATTATATTTAACATGTAATGTAAATTGCATATAGGAGTCAACTAATCCATTATTCAACCAACACCAAGATAATTGGTCACTAAAAGAAATAATGAACAACTGTCCTTCCACTAATGCTTTGGGAATGCCAAACTTATGCAATACAACAAACACCAAGAAAATTGGTCACTAAAAGAAATAATGAACAACTCTCCTTCCACTCATGCTTTGGGAATGCCAGATTGATGCAATACAAGAGTTATAAAATTTGAGGAAGATAGTGAATAATGAAGGATATGTAAAAATTAGATAGTTGGCCTCCCATAAATAGTAACATTATCAACTACAAGGCTAAATTAAATAAACTTAAAGCACATTTATTGTATTGTTGCACATTATTTTCTTAAGAATATAATTTTATTGAGTTAAGTTGAAATAGTTTTGGTGTAAGAATATTAAAATGGTAAGTCTAAAGTGAGTTGAATCTTACTTAAAGTGGAAAGTAAAAGTTTCCACCTTCTCAAAGTCAAAATCATTTGTACAACTATTCAAGAGCGAGCCTAAAGATTATGAATTAATGTTTTATCTTTTAATGAAGTTTCATTTAATAAATCTCTTCAGTTTCGAATATGAAGTTATGAAACTTTATGATGATTGTAAGCTCATTTAATGTAGTGTTTGACAACCTTTTCCCATTGTTGTAATGTTTTGAATTCTCTATGGGCTAAAGTGATTTTAAATATCAAGAATGTTAATGAATTGAAATCACTTTTAAGATCATCTAAAAGATTGAGCCGACCACCCATCAATTTTTCATACAAAATCCATTATAACCATCCCAAACAATTGATTAGGAGTGTCAATTCGGGTCAACGGGTCAGGTTCAGGTCAAACCCGGAACTGACCCGATGCTATCTGAGATGACCCGAACCAGACCTGTTTTTGCAAACGGGTTAAAAAATGCAACCCGAACCCGACCCGCCGGGTTGACACAACCCGACATGAATATGGGTTGTGAAGTGTGAAGGTAGGCGCGCCGCGCGCATGGGGACTGCGGCCTCGTAACGCGTGGGCGTCCCGCGGCAGCGTGGATCTCGTGTAGTTGCTCAGCGCGTGTGGATTGGCGAACTGCAGGGCGGCGAGGCGCGCGTACTCACATGGGCCACAACGACGCATTGGGACTGGCGGAGGTGCTGAGGTCACGCCTGGGGAGTGGGAACTGCTGAGGCGCGCTGAACTGCAGTGCAGGCTAGGGCGAAACCCTTCTGCGGACCGCGAGAACAGGCTAGGCTGGGCTAACGCCTAACGGACCCAGACCCGGGTCAACTTCTGGTTGATTTCGGGTTTCCGGGTCAACCCGAACCCGAGCCATTTTTTTAAACGAGTCAAATATCCGAACCCGAATTTTTTCGGGTCGGGTTCAAGTCATGTTTCGGGTCGGGTCCAAAATGAAACCCCTACAATTGATCAACCTTGTTTCTATCATTCTAAGTTTTTCAAAGAGTACTCTTATCACTCCTAATTCCTAACCTACCTTCCCATTAATCTCCTCATATTATTGATCAACTTAAAATAAAACAAATCTTAGATTTTTCCTTAAAGGTCTTCAGCCACCTTGAAATTTCCAACACCTAAAATTTAGAAGCTCTCAAATCACTCTTAATACATTCCCCTACATTTTCTCCAATCAAATAAAAATAGTCTCCAATCAAATAAAATTAGTCACTATTTACTTTTACATATTTTAGTATCATAGCTAAACCTAGTATCATAGCAAGACATCCTTCACACATCACCTCAAATTTCATATGGTTATTAAGAAAACTTTTGTACATGTTTGTGATTGTTTGCTAATTGAGAAAAATATCTTTTTATTTATTTTATTTTCTTTAAGGCATATAGCACGCAAGTGAAGAATGATTATAAAAATATTATTCATCAAATAATGAAATAGCTCAATTTATTTCTAGAGAATTAGAATAGAAAAATTCAACATAAATTGCAAATACAACTAAATAAAGAGATTTATAGATCAATTGAAGAAGAGCCTCCATTAATTGAATAAACTTTTCTTATCATTCCATCTTCATAATTACAATAATCTAAATCACATATCAATGATCCTCCTCAAATACAATATTTAGTTGTCCCATTACCAGTCAAAGTTATACTAGTATCATTGCTTTCATCACCCCCCTTCTGAAATTTTGCAAATTTATCACTTTTTTTAATCAATTATTAAGGTCCTAATGCTGTTATTTGCTTGATCTATATTAATAATTATTATATGCAAATATTTTTATAATGATCATGTTGCAAGAAAAAAAAATTCTTTTGCCTATTTAAATCTCTTCCACATATTTTATAACTTAAAATACCTTCAACTTCAAGGGAAATGTTCTTTTAGATCCAAAGGAATAGATGTAGCACTATACAATTAAATTTGTGAAAGATAATAAAGAATAAAAGAAATTGCTAAGTTTGGATAGCTACCTCCTCTTAATGATAATATCAATAACTTCTATAAGAATAAATTAAATAAATTTATCAATATTTTATTTTATTATTGCATTTTTATTTTATGTTGATGCAGTTGTTCTCTGTGAATGTGAAAAATATGAAGTATGATGTGAGTTGAATTTTAATCTAAGTGGAAAGTCAAAAGCTGCCACCTCACATTGCTATTTCATCAAAGTAAAAGTAAAAAAATACAAATTAGTGTTTTATCTTTTAATGGGTCTACATTCAATACATAAAAATCCCTTTAGTTTTCAAAATAAAGTTATGAAGCCTTGTGATAGTTTCAAGCTCATTTAATGTTGTGTTTGATCACATTTTTATGCTCCTGTAATGTTTTGATCACATTTTTATGCTCTTGTAATGTTTTGTATTCTTCACAACTTCTAATTGTTCTAAATATTAAAACTATTACAATGAAACAATCTTTGATGAAATAAAACTAGTTTTGAGAAAATTATGTTTATATTTTGGTGGATTATTGGTTGTTCAAACCTTGTTCCTTGGTTAGGAGACTTGTAACAACCCTTCTTAGTGAGAGGATATCTATCTTATTATTTATGTATTTTATTTTAATTATTTGTTATATTTATCCTCCCCTCATTACTTTTTTATTATTAGTTTCTCTCATTCCCCACACTCCTATTGCAATTTATACACAAAATACCACTTAACATCCACCTAAAACTAGTAGCTTGTCTCCCTTCAACTTTATATACTAAGATCCCCAACATAATCATTACTAATAACTCATGGACATTATTTCTAAAATTTTAAGCATTCCAAAAGAATTCATACCCCTTTGAACTCTTAACCTAAATTCTATTTATTATCCTAACACAATTAGCAGACAATAATCCAATACTTTCCCATCTCCTTGTAGAGTTTGAACATTCTATGGACTTTTAACCTCTTAACATCCACAAACTCGTAAATTATTCTTAATACATTTTTCTATACCTAATCCTAACAAAAAAAAGTCGCTATAAAATTTCATCAAGAATGCCACCATACCATGAAATTCCAACTCAAAAAACAGTCACTTCTAATTCATTATCTCATATTATAATTGGTTTTTTGTAGCTTCAATTTATGTTGAAGAGAATATTGTGGAATGAGGTTATTTAGCCTTCGTAATGACAGCACAACTCCATGACTATTGACTCCAAATGCTCCATTGGTATAGATGTTCCAATAATGATTCATTGACTAAGATTCTTCTTAGGTGGTGTTAAAGAACTTTGTTAAAAAATTGAATGAGTTTAACTATCAAGTTGGCATTTAGTGTGTAGTCCAACCAATATTTACTAAGCAAAAGGAGTACCTTGTCAACCTCCATAAAAGCTCAGTCTTATGTTTTATTGACTTCAAAGATTAATTAATCACAACTATAATGGAATGCACTTGAAGATATGGTTGAAGCTTCCTAGTATAATCTATCAATGTTAGGGTTAATTTTTTTATTAAATAGGTAGTTCTTCCCTGAGGTTTATCAGAGCCCTTTCATATGTAAAAAATTGGCATTTACTTTTTATAACTTGTCTGATTAAGCATAAACTTATTATGAATTTCCAACTTTGAAACATAAAAACATTGGTTCTCTCTTTTCAAAGAAGAGAGAGAAACTCCGTTTTTTCTGGTTGAAGAAAATTTTTGAATTTTCTATTCGCGGTTTCTCCGCTCGACGCGAATGGTGTCGGAGGATCGCCGGACTCAGGCTCCCGTAGTCTCAGTCAACCTACGTCACCCTCCTCCACCATCACGGAAGATCTCGTGTCAATTCGATTCGTCTCCACCTGCTTTCGGAGACATTGGTCGCAAGAAGGAAAATATGTTCTGGCTTAACAAAGATAGGCCTCTGATTATCAAGGAAGGAGCTTTTGAAGAAAAGAAGAAGATAGTTGACTGCATTGGCATAGGTAAACAAAATTTAATGGAAGATTCAAACTCGAAGGTATTCAGTAAATAAGGAACAAATCTCCAAAAAGGCAACCCGCTCCAAAAAGAGGATTGTACTCAAACCTCTTGTAAGAATGCGGCTGAAGCTAATAAGGAAGTTGTGTATGGTGCTCAGAAAGATAACCAGATTACTGATTATATGGTTTTAGAAGAAGTCAATATAAATTCTAAGGAACATGAAGGCGTAGACAAGGCTGATCGGTGCTCTAACCTGACCAAAGTTTGGGAATGCAAATCTGGAGAACTTGGGAATTGTATTCAAATAAACAATGTTAAATGTTCAAATCCTGTTACTGAAAAACAAGTGCTGAATGCTTGGAAGAAGAAGAATAATATCAAAGTCTCTGAACTTAATTTCGGAGAAAATTTTGTGAATGAAGACGGAGCTGTTAAACTTCATGTTGAAAATGAATTTGATAATTCAAACAGACTTAAGAAGTCTCTGGTGATAAAGATCTTTGGTAATAATATACCTTTCAATGTCATTAGTATGGAGTTAAGGAAACAATGGTCCAGGTTCGACAAATTTCATTTAACTCAACTAGGACTTGGATGGGTGCTTTGTGCCTTTGAGGATCAAGAATCTTTGGAGGAAATAATTGCTTCAGGTCCCTGGTATGTCAATGGCAACATAGTGGGTATGGACAGGTGGTCAGCAGCTTTCTCACCTACATTATTCAAAGGCCTCACAGCCCCAATTTGGATCCGGATGCCAAATCTTCCACTTCAATGTTGGGATGAAGTGAATGTTTGTAGAATTGCTTCCATGGTGGGGACTCCTTACTTGATCGATGGTAACATGTTCCAGTGGTCTAGAAGAGAATTCGCAAGGGTTTGTGTGAGAATCAAACTCGATGAGAAGTTACCCATGGGTGTTTGGGTTGAAGGAGAAATTGGAAAATTTTACCAGAACATTAAACATGAAAGGTTGCCAACATTTTGCTTCAACTGTGGTAAGCTTGGTTACTTAAGGGAGGAATGTTTGAAGAAATCTACTTCGATCAGGTCTAAACAAGGGATTGAAGCTCAAACCAGTGAAGGTGAAGTTGGAGCTGGAGATACAAGCAAAATTACTCAAAATCAGGCTCCTATTGATAATGACAAAGGAGATGGCTATGGTCCTTGGATTCATGTGGACTACAAAGCTAAGAAGAATCATAAAAAAGTTACTGGGAGCAAGGAAATAATAAAGGCCAATTCTAGTTTGGAGGGGAGAACAAAAGAAGCTGTTAAACCAAGCAGTACAATTAGTACTATTGCTGGGAATAATTTGTTAAAACAAAATTCAATTGATTCAAGTTGTTTGAATCAGAAAGCAGGATATGAGGTAACAGAAACCAATCCTATTGTTGATATCTGCTATGCTGTAGTGTGAACCAAATCTGGAGAGGTTTCTGATGTTAAAATTTTGGGTATAAATAACAAGTTCGAAATTCTATGAAATATAGCAAAGGAAGGTGAAATAGTTGAGGAAGGTCTACAACCAAATGCACATGAAGGAATTCAGGCAGAGCCAGTTGATGTTGTATCTAAAGCTTGTGAAGATACCTCTTCTACTGTTAAGAAGAGAGGAACAAAGCAGTTAAAAAACCTGGGACCTATCAGCCTGAAGACAAGGGGTAGGAAAAATGAAGAAGAGGCTAAGGAGAAAGGTGGAATTTATTCCCCATTAATCCATAAATGAATTCCATCTTATTTTGGAATTGTAGAGGAGCCAAGAAAAAGAGGGCTTCTCTCTACCTCAAGGAGGGTTCTTTTCGTTGGGCTATTGGAGACTAGTTTTTATTGAGCATAAAGATGTGGAATCTTCGATTGGCACTGGTTGGAATTACAATTTTGTTCCGTCCGCTGGTTTATCTGGAGGCATTCTTGCTCTGTGGAGAAGCAACCTAGCTAATTTCAACATGATTGAGTGTTCATCTCAATTCATTGTAGGTGATTTGGATATCCTCAATAAGGGGAAAAACATATCACCAATGCTTAGAGTAGCTACTATATATGGCAGCAAAGATGTGTACAATAGAAGATTTCTTTGGAATGGCTTGGAAAAACATATCACCAATGATTGGCCTTTGGTGATCGGTGGAGATTTCAATTGTCTTTTGGCTAAAGAAGACAAGATAGGTGGCAGGAAATTTAACTTCTCTTTGCGGCCGAGAGAGATGAAATACTTTATGACTTCTAATGATCTTCATGAGCTAAATTTCATTGGTCCTAGAATGACCTGGAGCAATAATAAGAAAGGCTATGATCGGATAATGGAAAGATTAGAACGAATTTTGGTCAATTCTACTGCGATGAACTATAATCAACAGATGGTTCTTAAACATCTACCCAGAATTGCATCTGATCACTGTCCTATCCTCCTCAATACTTCAGTTTTTCCTTCCAATAGTAAAAGATCTATCAAATTCAAGGATGTGTGGGCTTCGTATCCGTCATCCTTTGCTGTTGTGAAAAAAGCATGGATGAGAAGAGACTCAGGTTCTCCTGCTGAAATTCTGAATTATAAATTTAAAAGGGCTCTCAAATCCTTATTCTTTTCGAATAAGACTAAGCACAAAGAGTTGAATCATATGAAGGACTTGCTCAAAGAAGAAATTCTTATTCTTCAAACTAAAGAATCTGAAGTTGGTATGCTATCCATGGATGATTATTCTCTTCTAAAATTTAAAATCAACGAGCTCAACTCTACTTTGGCTCGGTTAAACACGTGGTGGAGACAACGATCCAAAGTAAAATGGATAGGTGAAGGAGACCAAAATTCAAAAAAATTTCACTCAATGGCAAGTGCTAGAAAGAACAGCAATCTCATTCCTTGCATTAAGGATGGCAACGGGATTATGGTGGAAAATCATGACCAAATTGAAGACGTTTTATTACAATACTTTAAAGACAAGTGGCAAGATAGAAGATGCTTACTTGAAGGTTGGCCGGATATTCACTCTTTTCTGGATGAGGATGATAAAAGCCAGTTAAACAGAGAATTCATTTTTGAAGAAGTAGAAAATGCTATTAAAGATACAACGGGTGGATCTTCTCCAGGTGAAGACGGTATCTCATATTCTTTTCTCAAAATCTATTGGCCTATTATTAGAATTGAATTCTGGGAAGCTATGAGAAATTTCTTTGAAACTGCTAAGATGAATGAGGATTGGAAGAGAACTTTGATTGTCCTAATTCCCAAAATTAACAATCCAAAATATGCTTATAATTATAGGCCTATTAGCCTTTGTAACACGGTGTACAAAATTGCTTCCAAAGTTCTTCTTAACAGATTAAAAGGTATTATTTCAAAATTAATCTCACTTGAACAAGCTGCCTTTCTTAGAGGGAGATCTCTTCAAGACCATATTTTGATAGCTCATGAACTTATACATAAGTTCAGGTTCTCTAAAGCTTCAAAAGGGCTGGTGTCTATTAAATTAGACATAGAACAAGCATATGATTCAATGGGGTGGCCAACTTTTCAAAAAATTCTTTGTTACTTTGGTTTTCCGGATTTCTTCTCCAAGCTTATTTTGGAATGTGTTCAAAATCCTGCTTTCTCTATTTTAATTAATGGAATTCCTTCCAACTGGATCAAAGCTAGGTGTGGTTTTAGACAAGGGTGCCCCTTGTCTCCTTACCTTTTCATTTTATGTTCTCAGCTTCTTTCTAATGCAATTATGGAAAGGGGTGATTTTGGTGTTCGGGTTAGCAGTAACAGCCCAAGAATTTCGCACTTATTGTACGCTGATGATATCATCTTCTTTGCTGAAGCTAAACTAAAAAATGTGAGAACTATAAAAAGTATTGTCAACAGTTACTGTGGTTGGACTGGCCAAAAGGTGAACATAAGCAAATCTGGTATGCTTTTTGGGAAGCGGTCTCTAGCTTGAAGAAAAGAAAAATTAAAGACATCATGGGATTCAAAGAAGTGAAGGAATTCAATTATCTGGGAACAAAATTGGCTTTAAAAAGGTTGTCTAAAGTGGATTTCCAATTCATATTGGACAAAATTCTGAAGAAGCTTAATAGTTGGGGGCTCAAGTTCATCTCATTAGCAGGTAAAATTACTTTGGTAAAGTATGTTATTCTCTCGGTCCCTTCTTTCCATTAAACATGGATTGCATTATGTTAGCTGGAAGAAGATGTGTGATCCAGTTGAATAAGGCGGCAGAGGAATTCATTCCCGCTTTAGCAAAATGGGCCCTCTAAGAGCTAAATTAGCTTGGAAATACATGAAAGAAGATTCCTTATTGCATAAATTTTTGTTTCCAAAACATGGTTCATGTTGGGTTGCTGAGAACAGAAACAAATCTAATTCTGCTGCATGGAAAATTATCAAAGATGGTAGTAAATCTTTGAGAAATATTGTGAGATGGAATGTAGCAAACGGTCACTCTATTGATGTTTTTGAAGACACCTGGATTTGGGACAAATGCTTAAATAAATGGCCTACATTTGTTAACTCTCAAGAAGAAGTGGTTGATGCTTTAAGAGTGGAAAATTTAATTTCTGAAAATCAATGGAGTATTCCTGAACTTCAGAAATATTTCGGCAAGGAACTACAAGATTTAATCTGTAAGATTGATATCAATCCGGATCTTATTGAAGATCAATTTGAACTCATTCATATGAAATCTGGAAGATCTATTACATCCATGGCTCCTGATCAAAATGCTTATAAATCAAATGACATTGTTGAATGGAAATGGTTGAAAAAAGCAATACTATATGCCAAAGTAGAAAATTTCTAGTGGAGAGTTTTAAACAACGCCTTGCCTTCCAATGCTTTTTTATCTTACAGAAGAATTCATAGGATAACTAACTGTCCTAGAGGCTGTAATGAGGAGGAGAATATTAGCCATCTAACTTGTAAATGTCAGAAGATTGTGGATGTTATTCATCAATTGAACGAATGGGGCTTTTACATTCCTCTATTCGAAAACAAAGAAGAGATGTATAAATGGCTAACATATCAAAACGTATTTCTCTCTAGCTTACTTTGCAATGCAGTTTACTTTACTTGGAAGGATAGGCATGAAATTGTGCACGGGAAGAAGGAAAGAAGTTCATGTTACATAGCTGCCGAAGCTGTTAGCTATGTAGGAGTTCTTAATACTCCAAATTATATCAAATCAGGACGGTTGAGAACAAATCAGCATCTGCTGTTTGAAAATCGTTGGTATTCTCCTCCACCCAATTGGATCAAGGTGAATGTAGATGCTACATTATTTCATTCTTATAAAGGAGGAATTGGAGGAGTGGCTAGAGATCACAAAGGAAGATTTACAGCTGCCTATGGTATATCTCAATTGCATTGGGATATAACTTATTTGGAGTATCAAGCTATAGCTTCAGTCAAAGAGATGATCAAGGATCGTGCAAGGATTTCAAGGCATTATCATTGAGAGTGACAATATGAATGTTATCAAGTTGATCCATAAATCTTTCAAGAAGGGATGCCGAGGTATGGAAAAGTTTTCTTTTGTGGATACTTTTAATTATGTTATTTTTAATCATATCAATAGAGATTGTAATAAGTTAACGGACTTATGTGCTAACTTTGGTGCTTTTTCTTCTTTCTTTTGGGATGATTTAATCCTTGACAAGGTTCCTTCATTTATCAAAATTTTGGAGGAATCTATTGCTTGTATTCGTTAGGGGCTCCTTTTGGTCCCTTAGTTTATTTTCTATAGAATTTGCTTTATGCTTCTTCAAAAAAAAAAAAAGGAAGTTACCAAGTATGCATTTAATTACTTCAATACTAATTCTTAATTCATGTAATCTTTAATTTTTGTTTTTTAAGTTCATAATGAATGAAGCACGTCTCTCTCTTTTTGGGGACATTTAGGCCATTTAAGGCAAACTCACACACACAACGCATACACAAAGACTTGAACCCAAGACCTCTTAGTTGAAAGCCTAAGCTCTCAACCAACAGGTCAAAGTGAGCTGCTCTCTCTCTCTCTCTCTTTCTCTCGAAAAATCTAGAAATAAATAGATCTAAGGTTGGCAACCTCCTAATCATCTTTTGAACAAGCTTTGGATATCAAAGAGAATCCATTCTCCACATAGCTATTACATTCTATAAATTTTCTTTTATGCTTCTCAATAAAATGTAAAATTCAAAAAATTTCTAAAGCTAACTCTGAACACATATTTTTAGACTTGTCTTACAATGCATTTTGGTTGGGTATCAAGTTTTTATACATCTTTCAAGTACTCATCTTTAGTTATAATCATCACTGGCATATCATTAATTTAAACCTATATATTCCTCACTTTTTAACAATGGAAGATGATATTCATAAAATGTCAATAAGTTGCTCTGACATTCTTCTATAAAAATAGCATAGCTTTATAGCTATAATCTACGAACATCTATCAATTCCTATTTTATCTCTCAACATTATTATATTTACTATCAATTTGATGGGCAACTCCTTTAATGAAGCAAGCCTTTAATAGTTTCTCCGCTTCACTTGCATTTCCTAACTCATTTTCTTAAGGGTTTATTTAAGTGCCACGCCAAAAATTTTTAAAGCATTCCAAACAAATACATTTATACTACTTTCAATAGGCTTGCTTAATTTAGAAGATAATTTACCTTTCACCAAAGAGTAGATCTTAAAGGTCTTTCTTGATCCATCCAATCCTGAGTTATGTTCAAGCTCAATTCAATTAAAACTGATATGATACAATGATATCCTGAACTGTTCTATGATAACAAAATAAAGAGCAAAACATTTGCAATTTGCAAGTATAATCATACATAGCATTAGCACAAGTAAACCTTAGAACACATATCATAGCAATAGCTTGAGCTGCTGGGAAGACGGAGGTAATCTTACTAAAAGCTTTGCTAATAATGATCGTTTGATGTTGGGAAGGGTAACCTTGCTCTAACAAAATATGCGAGAATGATCATTTTATCTGTTCGAATATTGATTGGACATGTTAATGTTCGTGAATGTGTAATATACTATAAAGCTTTTTGATATTGTTCTCTATAAAGATGTCACATGTTGCTTGATATGATGTAAATGAGAATCTCCTCGCCATGTAAGCTAACAATGAGAAAAAAACATAAGGAAGATCTAATGTATAAACATTACTTTAAAGGATATTGATATATATACAAAGGCAGATCTAACAGCCTAAACAGATCAAGCTTCCAAGAGCAACAGATTAAACCATTTCTGATTATGCAACTAGGTTTTAGGAACATTAAATCTGTTGGAGATTTAGTTGGACCTGCGCAAATTTCGTATAATTTCCCGAGGAGGAGATAGATAAGAAGAAAAGAGCCCAAAAAGCACAGCTGTTAATAAATATTTTTGCTATAGATGTGGAAGATCTTCAAAAACAAATTCTTATTTATTAATAGCTTAGAATGTGCTCTACTTGATTGCTTGGCGTGATTATAAGATTCAGTAACATATAGCCATAAATTAATTCGGAGGGTTAAAGAAGGCATTTATAATGCTAAATAACATTGATCAAGATGTAATGGTTCTTTCACTAAGGAGACAACATGGATTATATATCCCCATTGCTAGGCTCTCGATATCCCAATAGAATGAAGTATAGTTGAGCCAGAATCACAAAAGTCGCGATCATGCAGTCGAGATTTGACATTGGAAGGATAAATCTGGCTGCTATATAGTTATACTCCAATTTTTATAAGAACACAGGCAATAATAACACTAGGTACATTTAAAGTAACGGAATGAAATACATCCACTACAAAATCTCTTCTCACTTATAAGACTCTCAATCTACTTCATTGTGGCGGCTATATTTGAACCTTAATAGAATCCTATAGCTAGAAAATTTCTAAGTTTGTCGATCGAGAAAGTGTGCATTGAAATCTCTTGCCAGCTCGACCCTCTCTCTCTCTCTCGGATCGCAAGGATTTCTTCATCTCCCAAGTGAGTAAATTTAGTAATTTATAATAAAGGAAAATTACATAAATTAGGGCTCTCAAACTGTTTCAGAAAGAGCTTACTTTCTTTGTCTCATAATATAGGATAATAATAGTGTAGTTATATGCATAGTATATCAATTCTCTCCTTCATATTATATGATTAGGCTTATGATAAATGACTTTCTTGTTAGGTTTGGACAAAACGACCCTCAAAATATAATTTTGGCATAACATTAATATTGATCACTATTGCTAAACTACTATGGCTGAGAGAATAGCTTAGTGTAGAGAAGTTCAATATGTAGGAAATTCTGGTAAGTATTTTGATGTTCTATACTTGACTTACATATCTTGTATAATATGCTTCATCTTATTCAACAAACATAAAGTATAATGGTTACACAGTTCTGATGATATAATTTTTGTCGACAAATGATTCGTCTGTATTACCGTAGCTAACTCGTGCAGATCTAAGATTAGCCAACGGTGGTGTTTGATGGGTTCCATGATCATTCAAAATGTCGAAGATGGGATAATATAAATATATAAATATATATTGAGGGTGCGATCTCACAAGAAGTACTAGTGGCAATGGGGCAAAGTTTTAAAGGGCAGATTGATGGGAGAAATTCTAGGAAGATTCATAATTTCGTGAATGAATCATAAAAAGTGATAATGTACCAATATTTGTATATTAATCAACACATCTAATAAAAAAATAGTTTGAGATAATGACTCACAAAAAAATGAGCACTAAGTAAAGCAAATTGGATAAAGCTGAATATACTCGTATGAATTACATAATAACATGCGCACATCTGCATGAATGCAAGTGTTAAAAAAGTTCAATGTTCACGTAGATTTTGTCGAACTTGATGATTATGCATATTCAACTTGTTCATTAATTAAAAAAACTTTAACATGAATAAAAATTTTAGATGATTTGCTAAATGATCCCGAATACGA